CTGCCAGAGCTCTCTCTACAGGAGATTTCTCCAGTGTTGGGGGGGGAGAACACCTTGGGAGGTTGCAGGAACAGCATTTGTGAGTTGGTAAGCTGGAGAACTCACCTCTCATGCCCGCTGTCAGCAAGCCTGGAACCGGATCCCTGTGATATCTAACTTCTTAAGTAATGACATCATGTAATAGTCAATGCTGAATTTTTTAATCCCATTTTCTTGCATTCTTCACTTCCTATTAAATGTTAAAATTATGTTTAAAGTACTAATCCATTCAGAATAAGGGCTTTCTAGTCCTCCCTGGAAGATAAATACTGGTTCACTATATAACTTTAATGTACTTATTAATATTAGAGCATAGATTCCAGCAGTAGGTGATGGAGGACCATTAGAATCTTCTGGAGGAGCCTAAGAACCATGCTTTTAAAAAGTAGTAAAACTAGTTTGGATATAAACTCTGAGGGATTCAGATCCTGGTATACTTGTTACTGAAAAAACAAATCTTTTCGTTTTGTTACCTGCGATCCTAAGCAGAGTTATACCCTTCTAAACCCACTGAAGTCAGTGGCTAAAAATGGGCATCTTTCCTCTTCCAGATCTGCACCTTTCTGAAGAATGGAGCCACTCAAGCTTGGGATGCTCCTCAGGATGTCCCCTATGCTTACCAAGGCAATGAATGGCTTGGCTATGACAACATCAAGAGTTTCAACATTAAGGTATGACAGGACCCAGTTTCGCAAGCATGTACATTCATTCTGGTACATCAGAGTCTCTCAGTTTCTGCAGGTTTCAGATGGATTTTTTTAAAAAAACTTTCCTTCTTAAAAGGCTGAATGGCTGAAACAGAACAATTTTGGAGGTGCCATGGTATGGGCAATTGATCTGGATGATTTTACTGGAACTTTCTGCAATCAAGGCAAATTCCCCTTGATCACCACTCTGAAGAATGCCCTTGGATTGCAAAGCAGTAGTAAGTTGCAGTAATAAATGGATTTAACAGTAATTCTCCAAATGTAGGTGGACATTTACATATTCCAAGTGACCAGTATAGCCCAGACTTGTTACAACATGGCTATAGCCAATGCTCCCTCAAAGCTGTGGAGACATGTGAGCAAAAAATCTACTTTGTGAGCTACTGGCATTAAAGTTGTGAGCAAGCAATTTAGCTACTGCATAACTTAGTTTGCCCTGGAGCCATCCTTCCTGAGCTAGGACAAAAATGTGTGAGCCAGAGGCTAAAAAACTGTGAGCTAGCTCACACTAACTCAGCGTAGAGGGAACACTGGCCATAGCAGTCCAAGAAGAAGAGGAAGAGGAAGAGATTGGATTTATACCCCGCCCTTCACTACCCAAAGGTGTCTCAGAGTGGCTTACAAACTCCTTTCCCTTCCCCTCCCCACAACAGACACCCTGTGAGGTAGGTGGGGCTGAGAGAGCTCTAGCAGAAACTGCTATTTTTCAAGAACAGCTCTTATCAGAACTACAGCTTGCCCAAGGTCATCCAGCCAGGTGCAAGTGGAGCAGTGGGGAATCAAACACGGTTCTCCCAGATTAGAGTCCGCGCACTTAACCACTACACCAAACTGGCACTGAAGAAGCAACCTTGGAAGAACCACAAATACCTTAAACATGTTAGCAGTGTCACCCACATTAGAAAGATAAGAACATAAAAAGAGCCACGCTGGATTAGACCAGGGTCCATCTAGTCCACAACCTGTTTCACACAGTGCATACTTCTCACAGAATTTTCTGATCTTTCAATAAATTGCTGAAATCTTCTATGGTAGAGTGACTAGAATATTAAAGTTGGATATGGAAGCCCAAATTCAAACCCGTTGCTTGGCCCACAGTGCTCACTGAATGACCCTGATCAAGCAACTCTTTCTCAACTTCACAGGATTGGAGTGGAGACAAATGTGCTAAAAATTATAAACAACTGAAAGGGCTAGATAAGTGAAAAACAGTTATATTTAGATTGTTCTTCAGATTATTCTGAAAAATATTATTCATTTTGCAGGTTTTGATGAACTATATAGTCTAGCACAGGACAGGTTATCTAGTCAACAAACCTTTCAAATTTCTTGCTAGTGTTTGTATGTGTTACATTTCATACCTCTCCATGAACCTCAAGGCCATATTAAGAGGGTTCCTAGCTGGTCTCCTATTCAGGTACTGACCACACATAAAGCTGTTAAGCCTTGACATAGCTCCTATGCCATGTACCTGCAGGCCACTCCCTTTGTGGGTATTTAATATCATCCTTTCTATGAGGATTCTGACATTTTTCATGCTTTCATTTTTGATTTTTATCAAGCTGCTGTTTCGGTGGGCTTTTGGGGTCATTTTTATATTTAATGTTTTTAAACTTTTGCCCAATTTTTACTACTTTATTTATTTATTGTGTATAGACAGGCAGTATATAAATTTCCTAAACAACTAATGAACAAGTAATTAGGTAGAGATCATAAATGAGTCCACTGCTATTTGTGTGTGACTGTGTGATGCCCTTTTCTGTTTCAGGCTGCACACCTCCTGCCCAGCCCCTTCCCCCAATCAGTGGTGGTGGAAGCTCTGGCAGCGGCAGCAGCTCTGGTGGCGGCAGCGGCAGCAGCTCTGGTGGCGGCAGTGGCAGCAGCTCTGGTAGCGGCAGCGGATTTTGTGCTGGCAAAGCTAATGGTCTCTACCCTGTGGCCAACAACAAAAATGCTTTCTGGCACTGTCAGAATGGAAACACTTATGAGCAGCATTGCCAGTCAGGCCTGGTCTTTGATCCAAGCTGCAGCTGTTGTAACTGGGCATAAATTTCAGATCCTCCAGCTCCTACAAAAGCAAGATGCAAAATTTTTCTTCAGGTGAAACACATGACAACACATTAAGAAATAAAAGTTTGCAAGATAAAACCCTAGTGTATTGCTGTCCTTCATTATAACTATTTCTTTATTAGTTTTTTCTTTAAACTTCATTTCAGGCAAACTGTTCATTCTGTGTTTGAGTACATTTAATTAGTTATAGATGTCCCACAAAGACATAAAAGGTACAACCTGATGATATTAGGAAAAACTTTTTCACAGTCAGAGTGGTTCAAAGGTGGAATCAGCTGCCTAGGGAGGTGGTTAGCTCCCCTTCACTGGCAGCTTTCAAGAAGAGGCTGGATGAATATTTGTCAGAGATGCTTTAGGCTGGTCCTGCATTGGGCAGGGGGTTGGACTAGATGGTCTGTATGGCCCCTTCCAACTCTATCATTCTATATTTTCCCATAGTAGTGTGGATAAGCAGACCCAGTAAGTGTCCTTTTGATGAACAGAGAACTGCGTGATGTGCTAAGGGAGAAAAAGGAAATGTTCAAGAAATGGAGGCAAAGACATACCTCTAAAAAAGAGTATCTGCGGGTTGCTAGGCACTGTAGGTCAGCCATCAGAGAGGCCAAAGCTCACAGTGAGCTACAGCTGGCCAGGGAGGCTTGCTACAACAAGGAACTCTTCTTCAGATATGTGAGGAGCAAATGGAAGATAAAAGAGGTGATGGGCCCACTGTTGGGTGAAAATGGAGAAACTCTGATAGAGGACAGAGAGAAAGCAGAAAGACTCAATGCCAATTTTGCCTCAGTTTTTTCCATGAAGAACAGGCTCATCTAGAAACAGTAATAGGCAAGTCACAGCATCTAAGACTGCCTGCTTGCTTGGAGCTAACTTTTAAACACTCACATATAAGGCTTGTCTATAAAATTTCCTAAAGATTTTTCCTCTGTGGGGGTGGGGTGGGGGAAGGGGCTCTCTCATCTCTGGTGCTTATTTATCCCTGGCAGAACAGCACAAACAATGCAGACAGCGTTTTTAAAAGCAGAACGGCACAGAGAGGGAACCTTTTGCTCTTTGGCTCAGTCTGAGGCTGCCAGTCTCTTGCCTGTCCCTAGAATCTGCCTGGGGCTTACAGAGGAAGGTGGGGGATGCATGGGATGGGGTGGAGGTCCCCTGGCTCTGTCTGGAGGGGAGTCTGCACTAAAGCTGCACTAATGTCTGGCTCTGGGGCATGCCTGCACTAAAACTGCACTAATGTTAGGCTTTGGGGTTTACAGAGGGTGGTTGGGCATGTCTGTAAAGAGTAGAACTTTTTTTCCTTTTGGCTCTCTGTGAGGAGGGGGACATCTCTCTGGGGGGGGCTCTCAGGAGCCGGACAAAAGACCCCTGAGGGGCAGTCTGCACTAAGCAGGGGCACAAATCTAAGACAATGGCCTCATACAATGTTAGCATTGTACAGTTTTCACACATTCACTGCAAAAAGCCAGCCCGTTCAAAGCATTCCCCAGTCACAAAACACAAGTCCCCTTTGCACCCAAAAAGAGTCAAAACACCCAGGGACTCCATTTTCCCAGGCCCCAACCCACGGCCAGGTGCTACCCCCTTCAGGGAAAGCCGACACATGGGCGCCACGCCCCCAGGGCTGACAGCGGCCGCCGTCTTGCCACCCCCATGAAGCATGGCCCTCAGGGAGGTGGGACTAAGCCACGACAAGGGGGGGGAGCAGCTGTCCATGATGAAGGAAGGTGGGTATCTTATTCTTCTGCTATTGTCTGATGTAAAGCCTTTTGTGTTTTTCAGGACAGGAAGCCATGTCCTATTTATTTTTAAACTCTCTTCTTTCCTGTTGAAATTCTGTTTATGTTTGTGAATTTCAATGGTTTCCCTGTGTAATCTGACATGGTAATCTGTCCTGAAAACCACAAAAGGCTTTACATCAGACAATAGCACTACAGATAAGATTACAACCTTACCAAATCCCCATCCACCAAGCAATATTGTTCAAATCCCTTTGAACTTTCTGGGTGTATCTTTGGTGCACCTAAGAGCATCAATGGTTCATGCAATAATGTGTGTATATGTTCCTCCTAGTGATGCATCACAATCGAGATTCTGAAGCAACAGTTCTGTAGCCTCTGTGATGTCAGGTCTGACCTAGAAAAAAAATGAGCTGCTATTCTTATCAGTGTTATGCTATGAAGCACCAGCATGTATACTATGTCCTATGACTTTTGGTCGGGTAAGCATGTTAAAACCTGTTAGTCATCAGAACATATGTAGTATTCAGCTTCTTATGTGAATGATTTCAAAACTGCTAGCATTTCAACAGGTTACTAGCAGGTCCACCTATTACAAGGCAACGTCCATCTGGATACCAACAGTGTGCTAGATGCTGCATATAACATAAAGTTCCTGGCCAAAGAGATTACAGTCCAGGATGGGGTAAAAGAAAAAATAGAGATTGACAAACGATCTGTTGCAGCAGAGAGTCAGGTGCCAACAGGAGTGCAAATAAAATAAGATTAGACTTGGGCGGTTCAAGAAAGACTTCCCTGAAGGGAGGTTTGTCTCTTTTTGCAGGGGTCTGCAAAGTAATAAGGATGCAGAGGTCACGCCACTGCGTCTAAGGATGATCAGGGAAGGGCATTAAGGCAGCAGGAAAGGGTGGAGGAATAGAGCAATAGCTAAGACAGTAGTTCTTTAAGGGGTACTGAAGGGCTACACATGCATCTGTATTGTGTGTTGGCATCGTTTTCTCCTGCTATCACAAACATAGGGGATGAAGATAGATTCAGGTAGTCTTCAGGGGCTGAAGTCAAACTGCCAGCCTGTTTCCTGCAACAGGACAAGGCATATTACAGGCATGGAGCAACCAACATACTTCTGATAAAGACCAATCTGTGCTTAAACAAATGGACCAATGTAAATACTTTAGGCATTCAATAATCACTTACAAATCTGGAACAAATTAACTGCAGAAAAAATGTGAGAGAATAAGGAACGTGATGTTTAAGATAAGAATAACTTTGAATCTTTTCTGTATATTTAAAGATAAAACAGGCATTCCCCTCTTTTCCCAATTTGAAAAGATGTGATTTGCACTAAAACTGTTGACTGAAAAGGGGGGGGGTTGCATGCTATCCCTAGAGTTCCCCATTATCAAGTGACTTTGGGCCAGTCACACAATCTTAAACTAACTGACCTCTCAGGGTTGTTGTGAGGATGAAATGGAGGCGAGAATGTTGCGGGCCACTTTGGGTCACCAATGGGGAGAAAAGTGGAGTACAAATAAAGTAAATAAATTGGTATGGGATTGTTAGACATGGTTTACATATATCTGAGTGCTGAGTTCCTCTAAAAGACTTTGAATACTTTAACATCTGAGGATTTCCCTTAATCAAAAGGAAAGGGTGCCCTTTTATTTCTGACATAAGAACATAAGAGCCCTGCTGGATAAGACCAGTGGTCCATCTAGACCAGCATCCTGTCTCACAGTGAACAGCCAGATCCTATGAACAGCCAACAACAGGGCATTGAGGCCAAGACCTTTCCCCGGTGTTGCCTTCTGGCTCTGGGATACAGAGATTTAGTGCCTTTGAATGTGGAGGCTCCCCTCAGTCACCAGGGCTAGTGGTGATAGACCCATCCTCCAGGAATCTAACTAATCCCCTTTTAAAGCTAGAATCTGGTGGGTAGCTGTGTTGTTCTGAAGCAGCAGAACAAAGTTTGAGTCCAGTAGTGCCTTTAAGACCAATAAAGTTTTATTCAAGGTGTAAGTATTCGTGCACATACACACTTCATCAGACTCAAAGAAAGCTGTCTATTCCTGTGGCCATCACTACATCCTCTGGCATTGAATTCCACATTTTGATAACTTTCTGTGTAAAGTAGTATTTCCTTTTGTTCATCCTGAACCTACTGCCCATCAGCTTCATTGAATGCCCTCAAATACTAGTATTTGGGGAAAGGAAGAAAAATTTCTCTTTGTCAACTCTCTCCACCCCATGCATAATTTTTATAAACCTCTATCATGCCCCCCAGTCATTTCTTTTCTAAACTGAAAAGTCCCGGACTCTGTCTTCAGCATTTCTTCACAGAGAAGGTGCTCCAACCCCCTAATCATCTTGGTTGCCCTCCTCTGTACTTTTTTCCAGTTCTGCAATGTCCTTTTTGAGATACGGTGACCAGAACTGTACGCAGTATTCCAAATGAGGCCACACCACAGAATTATACAAGAGCATTACAATATTGGCCTGTTAAAGAGTGGGTTCCATGGATGAGCAGAACCAAATCTAGTGATCAGCTCTACTTTATTAGTGATTTCAGCACGAACAAGACAAACCTCCAAGGCCACAGCCCTGTTTAAATAGCATGCGATTGCCACACCCAAACACACCCCATCCCAACGATAGGCTATTTACATAACACTACTTCTTGACTGATTACTCCCAGGGTCCTGGTGGGCTATTTTTTAAATTTATTTATAGAATTTTCCATTATTCATTTTACATTACGCCTTACATTTACTATTCTTTTGAGTCATATTTATACACATTTTCTAACCATGCGTAAAACATTTTCCAACATTTCTCAAAAACTTCTTTACTTTTACCCTGCAATGATAAGCTACTGATAATATCTTCTCTATTATTTCTTTTTTTGAAGGTATTTCATCCTTTTTCCATTTACTGGCTATTAATATTCTTGCTGCTGTAAAAAAGTAAATTATTATATACTTATTTGTCCTGCTATATGTGTCAGGAAGAATATTCAATAAAGCAATTTCTGGTGTGAACGCTATCTGTGTCCCTATTATTTCACTTATCATCTTGTAAACTGTTTTCCAATATCTTTGTATTTTTTCACATCTCCACCACATATGCATATATGTCCCCATGGTGGGCTATTCTTCTAAGGCTCCAAGCTCAGCCCGTCTCTGGTAGCACAGTCCTGGATTGTTTCAGTCCCAATACATAACAGGCTGTTTTATTTTCAATTGCTTTCCTAATAATTCCTAACACAGAGTTTGCCTTTTTCACTGCTGCAGCACACTGGGTTGACACTTTCATTGACCTATCCACCACAACCCCAAGATCTTTTCCCCCCTCTATCTCAGCAACTTCAGACCACATTAGCCTATACTTGAAGTTGGGATTTTTTGTCTTAAGGTGCATCAGCTTACCAACACTGAACTTCATTTGCCACACTGTCGCCCACTCACCCAGTTTGTGGAGGTCCTCTTGGAGCTCTTCACAGTCAGCCTTGGTTTTCACCATCCTGAATAATTTTGTGTCATCTGCAAACTTGGCCACTAACTACTCACCCTTAGTTCCAGATTACTGATGAATAAATTAAATAGTACCAGCTCCAGTACCAATCCTTGAGGGACCCCATTGCTTACTTCCCTCCATTGTGAGAACACTCAGCCCTCAACAGCACAGGAAAAGTTGCCAACCTCCAGGTGAGGCCTGGAATCCCCCCGGAATTACAAATGATCTCCAGACTACAGAGATCAGCTCCCCTGGAGAAAATGGCAGCTTCGGCGGGGGGTGGGGCTCTATGGCATCACATCCCTGCTGAGCTCCCTCCTCTCCCAAACTCTGCCTTCCATAGGCTCCATCTTCAAGAATTTTCAAACCCAGACTTGGCAACCCTTTTTGTCATTGCTGTGTTGGTGAGAACCTAGGCATCCTGCTTTTTGTTATTAAAGTCGCCCTGCTAGAGGGGGAAAAATGTGGAAACCCTACTAGAATACAGCCCCCTCCCCCAAAAAAACTTCAGTGGTTATTTCTGTTCTCTAGCGATAGGAAACAATAACTCTCCTGTATAGCATACTTTGACAACAGTCATGCCTGTGATTCAGATAGTGGAAGAGTTTGGTTCAGGCTTGATGCCCCCCCCCCAATTGCCTCTTTTTCTTCTCTGTTAGGGAAGGACAGTGGAATCACTGGGCATGGTGACTTTACATGGCTCTCGAAAGGAAACTCAATAAGAGTTACATAAAAAGAAAGCCAAGCGCCCGCGGCTGCAACTTCTAAGAAAAATCACATCCAGTCGATTGGAAAACCCTTTCCCCCAACCCCAGGTGGGCAGGACTTAGGTTGAATCCACGTGTGTGTTTCTTGCCAGTTTCCAACAAACTGTCTACATTTGCATCTGGTTTCATGCTGGTAGTGCGCCAGTATAAAAATCAGTGTCTGCATATGTTTCCGCCCTCTGGTAGTGACTCCATTGTCAAACCAGTGTCCGCACTGGTTTAAATTAATGCTGTTCTTTGCTGCTCTAATCTCTCCTTTCTGATTTCGTTGCACTGTCAACCTAATGCAGACATTTTGGAGCCGTTGCTCCGCTAATTCTTAAATAATTCCAACAGGTTGCGCACAAACACTTGGCAGTAACTTGTGGTTCGATTCCAACAGTACTCTTTTCTCTTTTTACTAGCTAGCCCCCAAAATAATTTTTTTAATTTTTATCTTGTTTTGAAGCTTTTATTTCTTGACCACTTTTACAGACCGACTGAACATTTTTAAGTTCACTACTGGTGCAGTAAGAGCTTGCATTTATCTCAAAACGTTTAAATCCAGAAATGGCGTTTCTAATTTTATTCCCACTTGGTTCTATTTCCTCATAGCTATGTAGAAGCCCTCAAATCTTATGTTCCAAAACTTATCTATCCACTTTCAAAACATTTGTTTTCTTGACACACACACACAACGACACACACCACTTTATGGGACATTTTTAAGTTCACTGGGGAGGGGGGATTTACTTCGAGCTGTAGGAGGAACACTCAGCAGTAAAACACAAGACCTTGTGTTTAGCTCAGTGGGTAAATTCCTGCCCTGTAAATCAGGGCATTGTTGGTTTGATTCCTGCATGGCTGCTTTTACTCATCGCTATGTACCATTCCTCAAAATTTTTAATTTGAAATTTGTCTGTTTACTAAATTTATAATCACTGAATATGACTGGGCAATGCACAGTCAGCAGCTTTTTCGAGTAAGAGCTTGCATTTGGCTCAAAAAGTTGCAATTCCTGCCTTGTAGTCATGGCGTTTCTCATTTTTAAGTTCACAGGGGTAAGAATGACAGACCCTAGGAGTAACAGAAGTGTTCTGGGAATGGAATGACAGCCCCTGGGGGTAGCAGGAGTGTTCTGGAACTGGAATAAGAGACCATGGAGTGGAATGACAGCCCCTGGGGGTAGCAGGAGTGTTCTGGAACTGGAATGACAGGCCCCAGAGTGGAATGACAGCCTCTGGGGGTATTCTGGAACTGGAATGACAGGCCCCAGAGTGGAATGACAGCCCCTGGGGGTAGCAGATGTCTTCTGGAACTCAAATGACAGGACCCAGAGTGGAATGACAGCCCCTGAGGGTAGCAGCAGTGTTCTGGGACTGGAATAACAGGCCCCAGAGTGGAATGACAGCCCCTCGGGGTAGTAGTTGTGTTCTAGGAATGAAATGACAGGCCCAATGGTGGAATGACATCCCCTTGGAGTAAGAGGAGTGTCCTGGAACTGGAATGCCACGCCTATCATTACAGTCCCAGGACACATCTCCTACCCCCTGTGCTGTCATTCCACTCTGGAGCCGGTTAATCCAGTCCCAGAATACTCCTGCTAACCCCAGGGGCTACCATTCCACTGTGGGGCCTCTCATTCCAGTCCCAGAACACTCCAGTAACCCCCAAGGGCCATCTGGTGATAAACAATAGATTGTGATTAGATAACTGAAAAAAGACAAAGTGGACAGCTCCCCTAATGCTAACTTGAAACCCTAACCCTAAACCACATGGGATAACGGCACCAAGCTGATTCTAAAATGCATATGTAGATTCGGAGTGCATGGTCCCAGTTCTTCCCCTTTACTAACAGAAAAGGGTAAGAGTCCAGTAGCGCCTTAAAGACTAACAAAATTTGTGGCAGGGTGTTCCTTCCACAAATTTTGTTAGTCTTTAAGGTGCTACTTGCTCTTTTCAATTGCTACAGACAGACTACCCCTTTATTAATGTTACTTCCTTGAGGTTCTGTCCTTACAAACGGGTCCTGCAGCTTAGCCTGCCCCTAAGTAAGAGCACAAAGATGAAGCTATGTTCTTCATCCATGTGACACCCCACCTTCACCCAGCAGATCAAAGCGCCCGCTCGGCCATTTTTATGCTCTTCCGCTTTCCCCCTCCCCTCTTGGAAACTGAAGGCACCCTGCTTGTCCTCCTCCAGGCGGATGGCACTTGTGACCCGCCCACTCTCATCGCTGTCATAACGGTAGCCGCCAACTGCGAGAGCGGCGGCATGTTACTGGGACGTCGCCACTAGACCTGGGATCTCAGAGGTGAGGCGGGCAAGAAATGAGGGAGAGGGGAGCACTGTCTCAGCCAGCCGTTCGCCATCCCTTTCCCAGCCAATAAGGACACGCTGAAATTGGCGCCCGCTTGTTCTGTGAGGCTGGCATGACCCTGCAGGGCAGCCGCTCCTGCAACCTGCTATGCATTTTGCCTCGTGCCCACAGCAGGCAGGCTGGCTCCTCTTGAGGGCAGGGCACAGATGTGGCTGGAAAGTGTAGAGGGCTGAGATTCAGGGCCAGAATTTAACTCTTTTTTGCAGCAGTACTGGATTCAGGCAGGAGTCAACAGGTTAGACTTCTGATATAACAGTTGGCAAATCCTGACAGAGCAGATCATCCATGTTTATCCCATCTCTTCCCCTTGAGAACAGTAGATACCACTTCATCCAGCTTTTCGAGATACAGGCCCAGCTTTTCAAATGCTGAGATTTAGCCTGGGGACCACATGAAGAAGTAAGGAGTGCCTCTCATTAATCAAACTGGTGGTGGAAAGTGCCCTCAACCAACTCATGGAAACCCCTCATGGGGTTTTCAAGGAAAGAGATGGACAGAGGTGGTTTGCCATTGCCTGCCTGTGGGTGGAAATCCTGGCCTTGCTTGGTGGTCTCCCATCCAAGTACAAACAATACCTGACTCACCTTACCTTCTGAGGTCTGATGAGACTGGGCTGCCCTGGGCCATCCAGGTCAAGGCATTAATCAAGTTACTACTGCACAATGAGCACCCCGTACATCTGGGACTGAGTGGCAGGGCTTCCAAATCCAAGGATATGGTAAGAGGCCTGCATGTGTCCATTACAGGGTAGGAATGTTATTGAATGGTAGGCACTTGGCTCACTATAGTTTCCCAGGGAGACATAACAAAGGCTGCAGCAGCTACATTATACAGTTGCTTCCATTATGCTCTGTAGCTCTCAGTGCCCAAGTGTCTTAATCATTAACAGAGGAGCAGTAAACTGTCAAAATACAAATCTGGTATCTCACCAGTGAGCAGTGATTGTTTCACAGGTTGTCTTTCCCCACCCCCACCCCCAGTTATATCCAGGCAAACATGAGGTTCCTACCAATGTTGCATACATTTATTTTGCTACAGTGAATAATGGGTGATAGGGGAAAACTTCAGGGCTGAATTCGAATTTTGGTATTTGTACTGTGTAGAAAGCACAGCTCCCAACCCCACAAATCCCCCTGGAGGAGACATTCCAGTGGTTATGAGTTACCAGTTCTTTCCAGTATTGGCACCTGTGGTGACCTCTCTTTTGGGAGGACTAGTTTTTCCTTTAAATGTGCTCTTTACTTCTGTAAACTGGGTAGATTTGGCTGTCACCAGGAATTTAAGGATTTCCAAACCTTCTCTCTGTTTCTCTTACTGGTAGGGTAACACAGGGTCTAGGCTTTTCAGGGATCTATATGGTCCTGAGAAATGATTGAATTCAATTCTGGGATAACTTAAACAAAAGATGATTTATTGAAGTAAGAACAAATTATGAGGTTGGTTATTCTGTAACTATGTAGGATAAAGGGACTTGTAAATATGTTGTTCACATGTATCACACACACAGCCTTTTTTCCTTTACTTTTGTTTGTTTGACACTCAGTTCCAACATTAACAGGGATCACTATTTCCCATAGTTAGCCACACAGGCTAAGGATATATATGGCACTCTTTGAGATCTCACACAGAACTCTGAACACTCACTGACTGAACACCCTAACTGAACAATTCCAACTGCTTTTCCTACTAACTTTTCATAACTGTGTAACTGACGCACACACACAGATTCCTTTCAAAACCTCCTCCCACACTGTCATCCACCAATCACAGCACATTTGTCTCTCTCAATCCATCTAGTCTGCTTATCACCACACTTCAACCAAACATTTAAAGGCACACACACTCTCATAAAACAAGGAATCATTACAGCACCACTTTGCACAGTTGCTTAATGTCATTGTATGCATTCTTATGTCTTTTATTGAATCCTTTATTCCAAGATTATTGGCATCCAGTGAGATTTCATGCCATCCATGCTGGATCTTGTACCATACAAGCATAAACTGGGGGGCAGGTCATGTCTCAGTGGTAGATACTTTGCATTCTGAAGGTCCCAGGTTCAATTCCTGGCATCTCCAGTTTTTTTTTTTAAAGCCGCTGCCAATCATAGTAGTTAATACTGGCTTTGATAGACCAGTGGTCTGACTCCATATAAAGCGTATTAATATATGGATATGTTCAAAGACTTTGCAATAAAGCTGGCCACCTTTTTCTCTAGGACATCTCCATCCACTGTGCTAGAAGTCAGCCAAGTAGATCACACACCCACATGCAACTTACGTACAGGCTTCTGCCAGTTCTGTAGATCTGAAGGGACTACATGTAATCAGATCCTTTCAAAGGTCCAGAGAGACCCTGGCCAAATCCAGAATTTGAGGCCAGTGGTGGAGGAAAGTGCTGTCAAGTTATAGCTGACTTATGCTGATCCCATTGGATTTTCAAGGCAAGCGACATACAAAGATGGTTTGCCATTGCGAAATGGCAACCCACTCCAGTATTTTTGCCAAGAAAACCACATGGACAGTATCAAAAGGCTAAAAGATATGACGCTGGAAGATGAGCCCCTCAGGTCGGAAGGTGTCCAATAAGATGGGACTTAACTGAGGCTGGGGTGACTGCTGGCACCTTTTCTTATCATTTTTTTGCCTTGTGGTGTGATCTGTCTTTTTTGTGGTGTGGCATGGTTGTGTTATTGGGTTTGTCTCTTTTGAAGGGGAAGTGATATGTTGTGAGTGAAAACATATTTTACCTCAGAATACACCAGGTCGCATATGCAACTGACAGTTCCAACTCTCTCGTGGGGGGG